TAGAAAATGTTGAGAAGCCCAAATTGCCCAAACTAGTTTGGGCTTTGAGAAAACAGTTTGGACCAGAAACCTTAGTGCACACACATGCACACACACACACACATTTATAATATATAATTCAAAAGCAGTGGACGTTTTTAACACACTTGCACATACACATATTCATGTTTACATACATTACATTTTTAATATTCATGTTTACATACATTATGTTTTTAACACATACACACATTCATTATTATTTATATACTTACACCTATTAACATTTCTGCATGAGTAATTTGTATAACTGGGCTTTTAGAAAAAATAATAGCAACTCTGATGAAGAAAATTCACAAGAAGAAAGCTCTATTGCTATCATTTCTACATCACAACCAGAAAGAGAATTAGAGGAATCAGACATTTTAACCAACAATACCTTGAAGAACAACCAAGACATCAGACTCCACAACCACAAACCAATGTAGAAATAAATTTTGAACAAACCCCCTCACTACTCAATTACAAGGATTAAATACTATTATTGCAGATAATTCAGAACAACAAGTTACAACCATGAATAGTGACCAATTCAACAATTGATAACAGCATTAGGACAACTTACTGCACAGCTTGGAAATCAACAAGGAGGAAATGGAAATGCAGCTGTTCCAACTGCACCACCTAGGATCTCTGTACTGATCTCTATTTTTAAAGGAGAACCAAGAGAGAATGTATCAGCTTGGTTAATGCAAGTTGAAACAATTTTTGCTGCTCAAGGAATCAATGATGCTGCTGTCACTTGTTGTTACTATGCAGCACCAGAATGAAAGAAGCTTGCTTTGTATTGGTACTTGGCTCAAATGACAGAACATGAAAACAATGCAAATGTACCATGGGATGACTGGAATGCTTTAAAACTGCTGTTCCAACCCCCAAATTATCAATCCTATTTATATCAGCAGTTATGACAACTAAAACAAACAAGAAGCATCTGAAATTATACTACCCAGTTCCAAAATATTGTTTGACAAATAAGAAGGAATGGGAGATCTAGACCAGGTAGCACATTATTTAGATGGATTAAAACCTGACACTCAAAAAGAATTGACATACCAAGCACCACAAACTTTAGAAGCTTGCAATAAATCTTGCCATATGATATGATTCTGCAATGTAGGGATTTGGAAAACTAATGAACAATAATAATAGGTCACAAACTACAAATTATAATCATCCACCACTCCCACCAAAAGATGGTGGAGGACCAAGACCAATGGATCTTGACTATATTGAAGAAAGTAAAAATTGTAATCATATTAACTACCAGCGAAACAAGTATTCTAAACAACAATGGTAATAATAACCAAGGGAGGATGTTATAATTGTAGCAAAAAAAGTAAATCTCACAAATATCGAAGGAAATGCAGAATGACTTATTAGACTTAATGGTAAATAAATGGACAATCTGCTCAAATTGATAGACAGTGGAGTGTCACGTAATTTTCTAAACAAATAATTTGTTGAACATCATAACATTCCTGTCAAAAGTATTGATAATGTAACTGTAGAGTTAGCTGATGGAAGAAAAATGGAAACTAATAAGTAGTGGACATTAAAAAGTTAGAATTAGACACTTATTACACTACAGTAATTGTTTGCTCACCCTGTGAAAAATGCCACTCCAGAATATTTACATTATATCTCCGTGATCATGTTTATCACTCCGTAAATGTTCAGTTTATTTCATATTCAATCAGTTGAGTAAGCAATCCGTGTTTTTTCCGTGATGTCATTTATATTAATATTAATATATGGACTTTGTAATGTGAATTAAAACGGAATGTGAGAATAAGACTTTATAGCAAATAAAAATGGGCATTTTTTTTTTTACAAAGCATTTTATTTGTTAACTATAAATTTTGATTATACTAACACTAATACGGAAATCACACGGAATACTAATACTAATAAATTATTATTATTTTTTTTTTTTTTTCCGATGTCATCGTAATGTTATTTTTTATTGGTTATTTCAAATAAATTTACATAGTAAAATAA